AAAGAGAGGGATAAAGAGAGAGAGAGAGAGAGAAAGGATAGAGAGGAGAGTGAAAACGGAATGGGAAATGCTATGGTGAGATGTGCCGCAATTGCGCACTACCCACAGTGTGGTGAGTTCTCTCTCCGGCTTTTCTCTCCCTGGACGCCTCTCTCTCACTTTTTTCGGGGCTATTCAACATGTTTGTTTTGGGGTGGAGGCCCTCGGAGCAGATAGCTTGATAAGATGGCCCCTGGCCATCCGTCCGAAGTCCACAGTCCGGACAACAATTCCAGTTTTAGCTCCAGGTCCCTTAAGTATGCAACTCAAAGTGCAATCTGTCGCCTTGCTAAAAACTACATATTCACGTTGCATATATATAGATTCCATATATATTTGTATATATATGTTTGCCCAGCAAAGTGCTGCGCCTGGGGCTCCCTAATGGCATGGCGATGTAATCGAATCTGGGCCTGATATTTTATGGCCTGTCTGCCATATCCTGACCTCATCTGCTGGCGCTTCCTCCATCTTTTCTTGTCGCCATTCTCTGGCACACACACTCCACACACACACACTCCACACACACACACTCCACTAACACACACAGCGTAAGATGAACAGAAATAGGAACAGGATCAGGCAGAGACTTCCTCTTTGGTGGCTGTGAATGGGCTTCCGGCTTGCTGATTCGTTTAGCTTTCACTTTGAGCCGCTGCAGCTGTCGCACTGCCCGTACTGCAGCCGTTGATATCCGCACTCTTGGCCCATTCACGGCATCCAAAGCATCCAGATTCCGCATTGTTTATGCGGGCGGTTTTATTGCAATTTGCTATTCATGACACTCACAGCTGAATTTCAAATCAGTAAATCGTAAAAAAATTAAGCAAAATCGTACAGATGTTGGATAAAATCAATTCATTAATTCCTGATTGCAAATCTAAACATTTTAATTCTAGAAACAGAATCTAGGAATTCAATTAGATCCAAAATATAACATACTTAAATCCTAAGAATGTCCGAAAAACTTTGTAAAGAAATTTTGATTAAGAAAATGTTAAAAAATTAGTAATTTTTTCACACAAAAAATTCAAATATTTAAACATTAAAAAGCATGTCTATCAGAGCTGCTTAGGGCTTTTTTCCTCCTTTCAATTACGCTAAAGATAATACCATTTTAAACAACTAATTGCAATGTCAAACTGATTAGGCGGCCAAGATCAATGTAAGACATACCGCATAAACTCCGCCCGCCAGTTTTTGTGGGAGACTTTCTTTCAACCGAGAAGCAACCGCTCAAGTGGCAATTTGCATGCGATTTGTTGCCGTCTCCATGGAACCAAAGAACACACATTTGCATAGAGCCGCCATAATGCAATGCTCGTCGAGATGTGTTCGCTCAACAGCAGCAATCCCTCCCTTTTTTTTGAGTCCTTTTGAGTCTGTTTATGGTATTTGTTTATGCGCTTATGGCCCGGTAGTGAGACAGCTCCTGACTGAGATTTAGGTAAAAAGGTTAAGGATATGCAAGTTGAGCTAGAGCCAATTTAAATGCAAAGAAGGAAGCCGCTGAAGAGCAGCACGTTTGGGTTGGCGAAAGCCTTGGCTTTCAGTGTGCACCGGGGCGTATGCGTAATGTATTGTATTGCTTATCACGAGAAAGCGAGAGGGAGCATCTCGATTGTGAGCCATTGTGGCATTGTATCACTGTGCCATTGTACTATTGTGTGTATGTTTTTCGTTCTGTTCTCACTTCTTCCACTTGCAGATGCCGCACAAGAGAGACAGAGAGAGAGAGAGTCGCGAATAGATCAATCAATTAATCAATCAAAACCGAGCATATCAACCGAGAGGCCAATACCACAATACCACAACCAGAGAACAGAGAACCGAAATCAAAGTTCAACGTTGCATTTAAAGTGTCCGGTGGCCGAACTTCCACTTGCACTTGCACTCCGTGATTGTGTGATTGCATGCCGCGGATGAGCCGCGGATTATGTCACGTGACGAATATAATCCAGTAACTAGCTCTGGTGTGCGCAGTCCGGGTCGCGTGCGGCGTCTCCAGGAATTGCCGACGGTCGATCGATCCCCATCCCGGGACTACGGCGCTCCACGCGGAAGTCCTTTAGGTGAATGACCACTCCACTCCACTCAAACCCGAAACCAAAACCGTATCTCTGGACCTAGTCCAAGCAAACCGAGCACAAACGTAGTCCTGCACTTGGCCAGTATCGTGTTTGTGCGAGAGCTATATATTTTCCTCCATTTCGATCAATTGGCTACGCTTTTACCGATTTAGAACCGATCTACTAACAGACGTCATTCCAAATTCCGTCAAATTCATTAACGCAAAATTAACGCTTCTGTTCTGAGATTTGTACCATGTATATACCGCTCGCTAGCTCTCTACTTGTTAACCGCCATATATAACTATTTTCATTTTCGTACTATTTGTAGTCGACTCAACTAATGCAACTTCTAACTAAAGTCTATTATTTCTGTCTAACATCACACGCATGCGCATGGTACATAAATTTGATTTCATTTCATTTCACTTGATTCGATTTTCATTTATTTCGAATTTCGTTTCGCTTCACTCATCCTGCGAATCTCTACCGATTTTCATTTCAATTAACCCACACACAAACGGCACTCGACACTCCAACACTCCAACACTCAAACACTGGAACACATGCAAATTGAATTCCATGTGGGCGATTGAATGAACGCTGTTGCAGCTGCCGGGAAATTGCATTAGAACCGGGAACCGGGAAAAACAGGACTGGGAAATGGCCCACAGCTGAGCCATTGATGCAAAGAAAACCGCTGCGGAAAAGTGAAAAAGTGGAAAAGTGCACCTTGAAACTATCACTGAAAACTTTGCCCGGAGCCGTGCGCTGATATCAAAGCCTCAAACTGGATTACAATTATGGTTAGCTAAACTGTTTTGCACTTGAATGGGGTCAGCACTTGATTACACCAGCTAATTAGCATTTGGCCGCCATTCAGGGAGCTTAAATAAACCATTTATGACTTGAGCACTGAACAGCAAACACCAAACACTGACGAACAAGGACGTTGTTGGAACCGCAAATTTAGTTTCGTGCTCTTGACGTGCAAAATGATTTCGTGCCGGGCAAAACTTAGTTTATGGCCCTCGAAGGTGGGCTGAAATACGAGCCAGAAGCCAGGACACACAAAGTAGCGGGTTTACAAATGGGTGGTTGCAAGTTGTGGGAGGGAAAAGCAAAGCCAGAACACGACAAACACTTTTACCCAGCCTTCGTTTGTTGACTCTTCCTTTATTTTCCTTTTTTCATCTTTTTTTTTTTAATTTACCTGCGTTCCTTGCCACTAACCTAACCTAACAAAAAAAAAAAAAAAAAAACAGAAATAAGAAAAACCGAAGAAAATGAGGCAGAGACTCCACTGCACTAGTTGCCACCTCTAGAAAAAAAAACACTATGTATACCATTTTTTTTTTTTTTTTTTGGTTGCGTTCTGTTTGTTCTGGTGGCCGGAAGAGGAGCCGAAACGAAAACACGAAACAACCACCTGAACCACCACCAGAGATAAAACCACCACCCGTCCGTTCCGTCATCCTCATTTGGTCATCCTCATGAATTCTGTGTGTGTGTGAATTTCAGCAATGGGCAGTCCATACTACCGCGACATGGATGAGCCAACAAGTCCGGCCGGAGCGGGACACCATCGCAGCCGGAGCGCCAGCAGACCACCGATGGCCCATGCCATGGACTATCCAAGTAATGACCGTCTAAGCACTCTCTAAAAAGGGGTCAATCTGGTCTTGTCTAACGAATAGTCTTATTAATAATTGAAAGCTCTCAAGGTTAAGATAAAGTTTATCTTTAACATAAGGCTTTCAACCAAGATTAAAGATTAAATTGACCTCTTGACCTATCAACTTGATCTTAAATATAATTTGTACCAGTGCAAAACCTTCGAAAGAATCTTTAAACTAACGATTTCACTCAATAACCCCTCTTAGGAACCCGCTACCAATCTCTGGATCGCGGTGGACTCGTGGATCCACACGACCGCGAGTTCATACCCATTCGGGAGCCCCGCGATCGCTCCCGGGACAGATCCCTCGAGCGGGGACTGTACCTAGAGGACGAGCTGTATGGCAGATCGGCGCGCCAGAGCCCCAGTGCCATGGGTGGCTACAATACGGGCATGGGCCCCACCTCGGATCGAGCTTATTTGGGCGACCTGCAGCACCAGAACACCGACCTGCAGCGGGAGCTGGGCAATCTGAAAAGGGAGCTGGAACTGACCAACCAGAAGCTGGGCAGCTCGATGCACAGCATCAAGACCTTCTGGTCGCCGGAGCTCAAGAAGGAGCGGGCCCTGCGGAAGGAGGAGAGCGCCAAGTACAGTCTGATCAATGATCAGTTGAAGCTGCTCAGCACGGAGAATCAGGTGAGTGTGGACTTTACAGCAGGAGTAGATTTGGATAATAATTAATTGTCAGAAAACGGGTATATAGAAATGCACATTTGCTATGAAGCAAATGAAAAAATAAGCCTGGGCCAAAATTTAACTTAGAGCACATTTTAAATCCAAGCTATGGTCATCACTTTTCTGTGAATCTAATCAAAAAATGTACACCACAGAAACAAGCCATGTTGGTGCGCCAGCTGGAGGAGGAGCTCCGTCTGCGGATGCGGCAGCCCAACCTGGAGATGCAGCAGCAGATGGAGGCGATCTATGCGGAGAACGACCATCTGCAGCGGGAGATCAGCATCCTGCGCGAGACGATCAAGGATCTCGAGTGCCGCGTGGAGACGCAGAAGCAAACGCTGATTGCCCGTGACGAGAGCATCAAGAAGCTGTTGGAAATGCTCCAGGCCAAGGGAATGGGTGAGTCTTTTTTTTATTGGGTGAAAGAATGAGTAAAACTGAGTAAGATTTTTCACCATTTCCAGGCAAAGAGGAGGAGCGCCAGATGTTCCAGCAAATGCAGGCCATGGCACAGAAACAGGTAAGACCCGATCAGATTCAGATACTTTGGAGCCCTTTGCCAATTCCCAACGGGAAAAGGGACGAGGTCGCGACTCGCGAATCCCTGTCTCGAGTCCCTATCTCCGCCATCTCTCTGCCTACCTCTGTATATCTCTGTCAAACTATCTCTTTCTTATTTTCTTTCGTTCGGCAAACAATGCTCTAGAGAATGATTTCGTACACGGGCAGCGGGGGAGAGTGGGAGAATTTTCCCTTTCTCCCCCGCCTGCCCTTTCTCTCTGAACACGAAAAATAAAAACACACACACTTTTTATGCATCTTGAGTTCGAAAACATTTGATGCAACATCAGAACTTGAACAAGTTTTATTTTAACCCAACACACACGCAGACACAAAGCCTTATATACGCAATATATATACCCACAAACACACACACACATATAACCTATATATACTTACCGCCTTATAACTGTTACAATCTAGTAAAAAAAAAAAAAACAGAAATGTAGATCCTAGAAAATGTTCGCTTTTATGCCAACTAAAGTTTGAGTTGTTCGTAGTGTTTTCACACTGTTTTCCACTGTTGATTTTTCATTTCCCACATTGACACACACACGTACACACACATACACACACGTACACAAAGCCAAAGCCAAAGCCTGACACGTTTCATTCAGTTTGCTACATGTTTTGCATATTTTTTACTGTTTTGTTCTTGTTGCCGTTGTCGCTTAATTAATTTGCAACTTTGTGCCGACGAGAATGAGGACAGTGGAGGCAGTCAACATAAATGAACGTCGTTCGAATTAACATTAAGTGCAGTGCACTACCCATACATGTACCCGGAACACACCTACACATTCACACAGTTGCCTACACCCACGCACACTCAGACAGCAGCTTAGTCATTTCATTGTTCGCTACCCAATAAAATCTCGATTTTGTTGCACACTTTTCGGCGCCACAATGGAGGCATCTTCGCTTGGCCCATTTATGTATGCAACAGTAATGCATTGCCAGGTCCTGGAAAAGTGCATTTCCATTTCCACCCCCCCACGCCCCTCCATTGTTGCAATCCATTATTTATCGAGGGGGGCGGCGTATTGCTTCCCCCCGGGAAATCAATCTGAAACAAAGTCTGGAGTTACTGCAACTGCAGCTTAACTTTTCACCCACCGACCTCCCCAAGGACATGCCAAACAACCAACTGCTTATTACTGATCCAAACTCTTACGCCCCCACTCCTCTAATTACATGTTTGCCCCTAGCAAAACTCCCACACACCCACACACACACATGGCGTATGCGTAATATTAAGCGCAAACAGAACAAAAGGCAGCCAAGCACAAACACAGAAAAGGAAAACCCAGAAACGGGAGGCAAATGGGAAAAAGCATTTCCAGAGCATGGTCAGACAGTTGGTCACATTCCCAGTGGGCAGCATAAATAACCTTGATGCAGAAACAAAATCTATTTAAGGACAACAGACGCTGGCCGGAGAAAAGGCCAAAGGGAATACCCTGTACAAATGGGAAAATATTGTGATTATACGATTGGCTTTCGGCATAAATGCTTTTGTGGGAAATGCAACTTAAGTTCCTTTGTGGAATTTAATCTGAATTTGTAGATCTTTCTATAGTAATGGAAAATGGGAACTCAACAGCCAGCAAAAAGTCAAAAGTCAGTCTGTCTATTGAGATATGCACGTTTTCTTTGTGAATGGCCATAAAAAATGACAGATATTAGCCAAGAATGGCCACTATCCTTGACTGAATTTCGAACTTCATATTTTATCTCTGCACTGCATTCAGTCCCCGTGGCGTTAAAACCATTTGCATAAGCTCAACATCCTTTTTCGTGCCGCCATTTCGATAGAATTCACTGCACAATAAGTATTCAAAAGGCGTTTTTTCTCCTCATTTTTGGCTCAGCGCCCACTGGCATTTTTCGGGAATCGCAATTCATTTCTGCGTAATGCTTTTTACACTTTTTTTTTTAGCGGTCGGGGGTCTTGGGCAGATTATATTGTACCAATTGAATGGAAAGCTGAACAACAACTGGCCTGACCGGCGATTGGTGAGGCTCGAAATTAATTTGTCACTGATAAAGCAAACAAATGGTCGGAGGAAATGCGGCATAGTTACACGGCCCGGACAGCAGTAATTAAAAATCAGCCCACAAAACCGGACTAAAGAAAAATAAATCCCGCCCACCACATGCCCATATACAAAGAAAACGAATTTCGCCTTGCTTTTTTTATTTCTCGTTTTTTTTTTTGTACCCGGCGAGCAATTAAAAGTTGTTGCGTATACGCTGCGTTAAAAGGGCCGGAAAAAGAGAGCAATCGGCTGGTGCAGTTCTTTCGAGGTCACTGCGTTGTACATTTCCTATTTTCGGTGCAGATTCTATTTATTGCAAACTGCAGTTACCAGCCTATGCCACCCCCCTTTTGGGGCGAAAAACTTTCAATAATTCATCTTGTTTAGCAGTTGGCCCAAGTTGAGCCGCATTGAATCGACTTTTTCCTCTTTTTTTCCTCTTTTTTTGCTGCCTCGACTTTTGGCACTCTTATATAAGCCAGAGGCCCTGGGCACGCATGTATCTCTCGGTTCGGAATATGCGAATTTTCTTTTACGAGAGTCCTCCTGCTTTTATTGTCTACTTCTTATGGCCATTTAACCGACGCCACTTTGTCTGCTTGATGCTCAAACTTTCGGCTTACATTTTGCCCCCAAACCCAAACCCAAACTCAAGCCCAAACCCAAGCACTCTCGAATGCTTACACATATAATATGTACACAAATCTAACAAACTTATGCGATGCTCAACCTTCTCACTTCTGGTGAACCCAACAACAACAACGACGACGCCGACGAAAACAACAACGAGACAGCTTGATTTGGAGCGTGAAATCAAGAAATACGCTCAGGAGGAGCAGGGGGTAAGGGTGAGTGTGTGTTTGCTACTCGTAAAACAAAATAGAAAAAAAGTACGCACCAAAAAAAAAACACGACTCAGAGCTAAAGACCTTCTTAGGGGCAATCCATCCCGTCTTAGCCCCCGACAGCCGATGACCAAAGCTTAGTATGCTGCTCAGTATGCCAGACCACACAAATCCATATTCAAATATTAATGTTGCTTGGCTCACCCTCACTCAGATCTATACCATCTCCTGTCCCGCCCTCCCCTTTTCCCTCAGCAACGCCCTGGCAAATTAGAAACTATGCAAAACGTTGCCAATGGCTGAATTTTAATTAGCAGACTAAGCCAGGCACGAAAGGGGTAAGCGATGGGCTCTAGATGTGTTACGGGGATTGGCACATGCCGAATCAGGAGCGGACTCAAGTGCGTTGGGGCAGGACCCAAGAAGGGAATCTCAAATTAGGCAATCCTGAGAGGGTTTCGCAAAAAAAAGACAGGAAACTAGAAGGGTAATGCTTTAAAAACCACAAATTTAAAGCTAAGAAGAAATGGAAACATTATATTGGACACAAAACATTTAAAATGATTTATGGTACTTATTTCATAAAAGAATGATAGAATACTGTCCACTTTTGTATTAAATGTATAACCTTTAAAAGTACTTTACAAGCTAAAAATTTTAATAATAATAATACTAATAATAATAACATAACTATTGAACGACGAAATAAATGAAAGCAATATAGATAGCCTCTATGCCACAGATAGAAACTCTACATGCACCCAAACAATAATGTCAATAAAGCATAAATCTAGCTATAATTGAGGTATAGATATATCATGCCCTGGAAAAGCATCGAAAATTGTGCCATATCGTAAATTTAAAAGCTAAAAATAGGGGCTTTAATCATGACTGAAGCAACATAAAATACTGCCAAGCTCTATATTAAATTTCCCCAGCAACGCCAACCGATTGCGGCAGGAATTTCACTCGCAGGTCACTAAATAAAACTCACACGACACCCCCCCGCACATAAAGATCCCGGCCAAAGAGCCAGCCCTGTGTCCTATGCATACGCATAAATAATAATGGGCATGGAGCACGGCAAACATGGGGGCTGCGAGAGGTTAAGGGAAAGGGAAAGGGAACAGGGTACTGGGTGCTGCTGCTTACTGGTTACTGGTTACTGGTACTGGCAACTCGTTATGGCTGCCAGTGGGCCTCGCTCAACGCTTGATATATTATGCTGCTGCTGGCTTGCACAGCTCTTTGTTTTGCGGGGGTGGCATAAAATAATTACGCGGCCTACCGCAAAATTCATTTTGCCAGTGCTTGCGAAAAAAAATAAAGAAGAATTAAAGCCCTGCAAAGTTAAGTGTGTTGAGCAGATACAAATGCATTTAAAGCGACAAGTACCTGGGGGCGTTTTCACTTCGACTAATCGATTGGCCCGGCGAACAGGAATTCAATTTGAAACGGCATATCCGAAAACAAATGACTGCCTAATGAGTTGCCCACTTAGCATAATAATTGAATGGAAGCTGCCTTAATATGCAAAGTGTTGCCTACTTTTGCGGGCCAGTTGGCCCGGAATTCCATTTGTTGGGGTGCTCGCGATGGGCTGCCTATCCGGAAGGGGACGGTGCAGGCAAGGGATGGCAAGGAGGTAAAGAGGGCGGTTGGACCGCCCGCAAGTCAGCTGCTCGAGAAGTGCAGCCCCATCATGTGCATGCGCAGGCCATCAGTTGCAGGAAAGGCCGTTTCGACCAGCCGCAGCCAGTGCAGGGTTAAGCTTGCAGCGAGTAGCTGTGAAACGAGTTCCCCCACTCCCTCCCACTTCCAGCCACTTCCCCCCACCCTACGGCCCTTTGGCAAGCAATCAATATTGCCACCAGCTTTTGAGCGTAAATGAACGTAAAAGCTCTCGCCTGACTTGCAAAGCTTTTCTTGTGGCACAGACCACATGACTGGACCTGAGAGCGCAATTGGGGAATAAGGCTCAATCGGGACGAGTGCCGAAAACGAGAGCCGAGCCCCGAAAGCTAAAAGGATGAGTGCTTAAGCATAGTGCCGAAAGCCAAAGGACTAAGAGCTTAGCATATAGCATCATGATTTATGACTAACTTTATAGTCGAAAGATTAGAGAGCAAGTAATTTAGTGACGAAAGCCAAGTAGTCAATGAGCGAACTATGATAATCCGTAAGAATATCAAAGAAGCAAACTAGAAATATATGAGTAAAGAATATATGAATATTTTTATGCTTGGTCAATATCAATCAAAACAACTAAGGTAGCATTTTATTTCTTATTTTAGTTTTTTTCGTTTCAAAATTATTTGAAATAAATTAAGAAGATATAATCGGTAGTTGCATAAAAAACAAACTGAGCTGAAATGTATTTTTAAAGCCAAGTAACTGAGTGCCAGCAGCTGAAAAAGACATTCCAATATACGAAATCAGAATCCATGAATAAAAGTAAGCTATTCAAGAGCCGAAACTCAATTGAGATTTAGGTGCCAATGAATGGGACCATAGTTTATCTGCAAAGCCGAAGGACTGGGTGTAAAAACTTTAACCTTTAGCAGTGCCGAAAATTGAGTGACTTGGGGCCCAAACAACGAGCAACGAGTGAAAGCTGAACTGCCTAGAGCCGAGTGGTTGAGTGGCAACGGTGCGAATGAGCGATTTGCCATGCCTCGTGGTCGCAAAAGCTCCGCAGGCGCGAACAGTTGTACACGCAACGCTCCAGCCGACGAGCCGAGATACGGACCAAAAAAAAAGACCTGAATCGAGCAGAGCGCGTCGCGAATCGCACTGAAGGAAGAAAGTTTTTGGCACAGGCAAATGGCAAAAAAATTTGTGTAGTGGGCAGCGAGCCAGAGCCAAGTGAATTTGGATTGTGCTAGGATACGAAAATCCCACACGAACCCCAATATCCCATCCGTCTAGATTCGCGAAAGAAAATCCCATTCGTGGCGCGAACGCGTGTGCTGCGAAAAAAAATAAGAAAAAAGCGAATATATAAATGAAAATTCCATTCCTTGACCGCAAAAGGATGTAGATAAAAAGGAATGTCGAGCATTTCATTATTGTGCCTTTACCTGTAAATATCAGTGTCTGTGTGCAAATAATAGCTTAAATCGAGAGTGCCAGTGCCATTTTTCAATCCCTGCATCCTCATCATTCAGCACCAGCTGAAGGAAAAGCAGCAGCAAAGCAGCAAAGCAGCAAAGCTGAAAAGCTGAAAACCAGAGCAGCAGTAACAGCATAAAATCAATAATTTTTGCTTAAGCAGCCGCAGCAGCCAAAAAAAAAAGAATCTTTCGCAGCAAACATTAACTAGCAACAACAGAGGACAACGAGAAGAAGAACAACAATTTCTTTTTATAGCCCGTCGTCCTGTCTGTGTAGCAGTGTGTGTGTGTGCGTGTGTATGTGTGTGTGAGAATGTGTGAGTTTGTGTGGTGGGCCAGAAGGTTACACCCACATTCACACTCACACTAGCATTTGCATTAAGCAGACAGCGCTAAGAATCAGGAAGCAGCTGAAGCAGCAGAAAATACAAGTTTTCCCAGAACAGAACAACGACTGTAGTGGAAAAGTAAAAAGTAACGGGGAAGCAGTCTATTATTGTATTACAATAACACACACACACCTGCGCACAACAACTGCGGCCAGCTCAAATTACATAAATAGCAGCCAGGCAGCACTAAGCACTAAGCCCAAGTACAACGAACTGCAATTCTGCAATAAATACGGCAATACTGCAACACTGCACTATTGCAATTGCAGCAACATTAGCTCTTAAAGACCCCGGCGAGAGACCCAGAAACCTATGGACAATGCCTATGTCTACTACAAGGTATTGTACACGTACCGCCCACCGGAAACAGTCACAATCACCCAACCAGTCAGTCAGTCAGTCAGACAACTGCAGCAACTGAAATCCACGATTACCAACTGCGAATCATCCAGTCATCAAATCAGTCCAGCTCGAAATGTCATTACTCATCACAGCACACAAGAACAACCTTCAACTTCATTCAAAAGTCAATCAGCCAAAAGGCAACTCGCATAACAAACTAACCAAACCGACGAAATGCATCTAACCGAAATGTCTGTGGGTGGGAATTCCAAGTGTGGTCGTATGGTACAAAATGTGGGGGGTGTTAGTGTAAATCAAAACGATGGCTATCCTATCAATTGGGGCCGCTGAAATAGGCGCTGCAAGGCACCCAGACACCAAAAGCCATTTAAATGTCCTGTCAAGGCGTAACATGAGCAACTTCAAAAGGGGGAGAGGAGGCCAGTAAAGAATGGGCGGGAGGAAAACCAAGAAAAAACAAAGAGAGAGAGGGAAAGGCTATAAAATGTTGCGTACAGAGAAAAATATTCCCTTTTTAAATTGGAAATTGCCTACGAATTTAGAAGAAATCAGAACAAAGAGAGAATGACAATCAATAGAAATTGTTTATTATCATTGACTAACTTTAAAACAGATAACTAAAAAGACCTACAAATTTTAAATATTTTATATAAAAGAAGAAGCTTATGTAGCGTATGTTTCACTTAGCAGGAGTAACAAATTTAAAGCATGACAAAAACCGTTTTCTCAGCTTTCGTTTTAATACTTAAAGTACCAATTGTCTGATACAATTAATAAGATATTAGATTTGTTCTCAATTTTATGACGTAAGGCACTTTAAAATTTCTGTTTTTGATAACAAAATTAGATTTTGCAGTTGATTTTAATAATTTAAATATTTAAGTGGTTAAATATTTATGTTGGACTCAGCTATGTTAAAAAACAATAAAGTGCAATTGTGGATTTGAAGCTCTACATTTTTTTCCATGTGCAGCAACTAGCACGCAAAACAAACAAAACTGGTTAAACTTCTTCTGTTTAGCCTGTCGTTTTGTGGCCTCGAGTAGCAAATTAAATTTCACACATACAGTGGCACATATCAGCACACACCAACAGACTCTCAGGCTAACACACATAAAAAAAGCACACACTAATGCGCCAATGCTGGCTAAAAAGGGCAAATCGCATTGCCTGCTTTTCTGCGTAATTAGTGAAATTCGGCAACAGGGCGAACTTGCAGAAAAGTGCAAGAAGCATAGACAGCACAGGCGCACATAACCTTAACACCCGTTCGCAGTGAACCCCTTTAGCCCCCTTTAGCCTTAACCCCCTTTTGGCATCCATGCTCATTAGCAGAAAAGCCTACCGAAATTACAAAAAAAAAAAAAAAGAAAATAGCGAACCGACAGGGATGCACTTCATAAATGTCACTTGAAATACATTTCCAACAGGCACGTGCGTGGCGAAAGGCGAAAGATGGGACGGCGACTGACAATGGGTTAAAAAGGGGTGGTGGTGTAGGTTGATGGGTAGTGGATGGCAGACAGGACACAGTAGGGAAGAGGACTCTGTCTGGCCTTGCCCACAAGAACACAGGCACAAACGAAACAAAACGAAACGAAACGTGAACGTGATGATTTGTCATGATTAACGCGAGGGAAAGGGGATCGGCCATTGAAAACCGGGATTTCCCCCTCGACCACTTTAATGTTTTGCATTCCCTTTGTTTGTTCTGCGTGATGTGATATGATGAGATGTGCTCACATGTCAATGTCGTGGGGGTACAGTCTCTCTCTCTCTCTCCCTCTCGCTTTACCTCTCGCTCTCTCTCTCTCTCTTCCTCCTTCTCCTTCTCACTTCCCCTTAAGGAATCATAAAAGTTGAAATTGTTTTGCCTCAGCTTTCTTTTCAGTTTGCAATACTCCGTTTATATGTTTGTTTTTTAATTTTATGTTTTTTACTGGGCACGCAACAAACGAAAATAGCAGCAAAATGGTTGAAAAGCCAGAAAATACACTCTGCTACATGTATTTGGCACTTAACACACTTCTACGAACACACTCAGACACACACACACACCCTCCCACTCGGCTTTTGATTTCGCCTCCTACTTTGTCTTTGTTCTCTTTCCCTCCTTCTCTCTCTCTCACTCTTGTTGCCTTTGTTGCCCCTCTCTTTCTATTGTAATCCCACACAAACACACGTGACGTATACGTAACCTTGTAACCAAAATGTTGTTATTTCGGTCCGCCATTTCCATGTGTTTGTGTGTGTGCGCGTGGGTGAGCAAAAGTTCTTGGCATTATTTTAAGTGTTCTGCTCACCTGCACTCTTTTAACTCTCTCTCTCTCTCTCTCTCTTTCTCTTGGCACCTTTCCCCCAAATTTATATTAATCTTTGTTTTTACTTCAAGCATTTAAATATATAAATGTGTGTTTTGTGTCTTAATGTTGTTTGTGTAATTGTTTAATTATAGTATATAGTTATATAGTTTTCTACACACGCTTTTTGTACTTTAATTTTATTTAATGACCCTACACACATGCCCACACACTAACACAATGTTTGTTAAACTTTAAACTTAGCATTTTGAACGGAACGCTGATTTTTGAACTCCTTTTTCTTACTGTTCTTACATAATCAAAAAGTAATATATAACATTTAACCAACACACTAAAGAGCAAACCTTAGAAATCAACAAAAAAAAATATATCAAAAATCAGAAAGCAAAATCCCAACTGAAATGATCAGATACGAATTAACAAACTATTAGTGAACTGTGATCTGTTTAGCATACAAGAATAATTCTTTTGTCATTTTATTGCCAAAAGATGCAGATGATTTTTTCACGAAACTTATCGATTGTAATGGCTCCAATTATTGGCTTTATAAATGAAAATCAAATCCACACAAAAACGTCTAAAACCATAGGCAAGCAGTCTTGAATATAAAAAAAAAAAAAACAAATCAAGCGACTCAATTAATGAATTCAAAATATATATTTGTTTCCAGAATTGATCTTTTTTAATTACATCTAAAAACATATATTTTGTTGTTGTTCTAAAAGCAATCACCAAAAAAAATATAACAATAAAAAACAATTGAAGAAATGCAATAACAAATTTGAAAAAAAAATTTGTTTACCAAGAATCGAAAAACGTATGCAACTATTTACAATATGCTTTTGTAATATTTTCGCACGATACCAAAAAAAAATAATAATATCAAAATAAATATAAATAACAAAAAAGACCAAAGGGAAAGCAATAACAAATTGATTAATACTTCGAGTAGACGGAAGAAAGGAAAGAAAAGAAGAAGAAAGCGAAAGCGAAAGCAAATCTTTCATATACTGACAACTCTTTGACGATAAAATGATAAAACAATTACGACGTGTATATATATCCACAATATGGCTAACAAACATATGAATATATACTCCTTTCTCTCTGTTTCTGTCTCTGTTTCTCCCACTCACTCTCTTGTTTCCTCACTCTCTCTCTTACTCTCTCTCTCTCTCTGTCTCTGTCGCTCTTTATATATATATATACGAATATCAGCAACTACAACTATATATATAAATATGTTACTCTGCAGTATGTTGTTTTTGATATTAATTGCGTTACTCCGCTTACGACAGACCGAGACCCGAGATCCGAGAAACCTAACCCAGATCTTCCGACCCACCCCCAAAAAAACCCACTGAAAACCCCAGATTCCAAGCCCACCTCAAGGCCGAAAAATAGGCAACAATAGTTGCCGTGTCGTTGCACCAGACTTACACACATTCACATGTGTCTGTGTGCACATATGGATGTGTGCTCGTGTTTGTGTATGATATATTACTTTTTGGTTTTTGTAAATATCGAACTTACTAATTAATCTTACGAACGTTGACCGGATCCACTCAAAATCGAACTCGCACACAACACGCAATGCAACAATTCAAACAACAACAATTTCTTCATGATGGGTTTCACTCGCACACTCACAGACACACACACACACACACACAGTTCCGACCCTCTCTCACCAAAACACGTACACTGAAAGAAAGACACTTTTTCAAAGAATGGCTAAAGAAAAGAAAATATACTCTGCTCTGTCTGTCACACACTACTTGCGTTTTTTCCATCTGTCTCTCTCTCTATCTAAGTCTCTATGTAACTGTCTCTCTCTAAAACTCAATCTCAAAACTCTGACTGCCACTTTCACACACACTATCTCTCTCTCTCTATCTCTCGCTCACTGTCTGTCTAAACAACTATATGAATATATATTTTGTTTGTTTTCTCCAACACACCGAACCAAATTATTTAACAAATATACTTTTGCACGTTATTTCTATAATGCATCTGAACTATATATTGTTATACGAATATTTATGTTTCTTTTCTGCGTACAAACAAAATACCAAAAGCAAATTGTACAAAAAAACAAAAAATACCGAATACCGAATACCGATACCCAAAAATATATACCTGAGAAATACGAAATCAAATCCGAGTTGCATTTGTATGCCACATTGATCATACGAAACCCACCAAGTCAAATACAGCAACAAAAGAGAAGCATCGACACACACAGATACATTCTTACACACACTTACAGGGCCACATACACACGTTCAGTTACAAAGATACAGCCATCCACACATAAATAGATACAAAAACCAACGACATCCTCGTGGCTGTCAACCAAGTGACACACATTTCATGTTGCGCCTGCCCTCCGCCCTTCGCCCCCCAAAAACCAAAACCACACCCCCTCTCTCGCACACACACTTAGACATTAACACACACACAAATACGTCCAAAACCAAATACCCCCAACCCCGCCCTTGTTGAACTTTTTTTGGGTGCCAACAAGAGCCGTTGAAAGTGCCTCAGAACCAACTATATAACTAAACATATAAAGCCAAACGAAAGTTAACCAATGGAAAAAACCAACAAAAAAAAGAAAGAAAAACAAAAAGAGAACAATACAGTACCGAAAAGTCATAACTCATAATCAACAAATCTCATACTATTACAAAACCCTATTGTAAATTAAGCGCAAAAAGTGTAAAGTCGAACAAAGAAAAAACCAAAAAAAACTGAAGAACTTGTAGAAAAACAACAAAAATAATGATAACAAGAACTAAGCAAATTATTCACATACTATATATGGGGCCAGAATAGTCCGTAAGTGTTTCGGGTAAAAATCGCATTTCGCAATGTTAAATGTAAGCCATAACCACCTCTATATATATATATATATATTTATAAATATATGTAAATATGATATATAGATAGCTAATGTTTGTTAAGCCACGATCATGATCATGAATGAAAAAGCCAAAGCAAAAGCTAACAAAAGCTGTAGCTGTGAAGCACCGAAGCTGGAAAATCGAAACAGATAACAGATAACAGATAACACCAGACCCAACCAACCAACAACAATATCAATAACAACAACAACTACAGCTTTCTATATAGACACCACAGAATAACAGAAAACCGACCAAAGAAAACCCAAAAAAAAAAACAACCAGTCAGTCAGTCAGTCACAGCAGTTACAGCAACCAAACCATTTGAAATCGCCCGTTTCAGATGTACAATAACTACACGGGCGCCAGCGGAAGCAGTCCCCCATTGCCGGACATTATCGGCCAGTACTACGGTCCGGGACCCCTGTCCTACGGATCGGCCAATGGTTACGGCCCCCTCGGCGGCGGCGTCGGCGGCGGTGGCTACGACCTGTACGGCCCATCGACTTCAACGGCAGCTGGGGGATACGGACTTTACGATCCGCAGATATACGGACCCTGCCAAACGTCGCCGATCCGGCGAAGGCGGTATAGCATCGCCGGCCTGCCGTCGGCCACCATGTACAATGATGTCTACGGCTATCCGGCGCCACCGTTGCAACAGACCAGCTCCTCCAATATCGTCAATCTGCTGAACGAGGCCCACAAGTCGATATCGCGCAGCTCGCAGATCCTCAATCTCACGAACCAGGCCCGTCAACTGGGCCAGCTGGTGACCACGCCCACGGGCACGGGCATGGGACTGGGCCGCGTGGTGTCCAGCTACCCCACCCTGCATCCGGGTGACACCTCGCCGCCGTACCTCAACGACAACCTCATGCAGATGTCGACGAGCTTCTCCTCGCAGCCGAACATGTACTTCCAGCCGCAGGCGCAGCAGGTCCTGCCCACGCAACTGACGGCGGCACAGAGTGCGGCTGCGGCGGCGGCACGACTCCGGCCGGCCTACTCGGTGACGAACCTGGTGTCCAGCTACCCGACGACGACGGCGGCGGCGGCGGCCACGACGGCGGGGGGCTATGGCTGCAAGTACGGGGGTGGCTACGGCGTGAGTCCCTACCAGAGCGATCTGGGCTATCTGGGCAATCCGCTGGTCCCCTTCCAGCAGCAGCGCCAGCTGATGGCCCACCAGTCGCTGCACGCCTCCAATCCCGCCATATCGCAGTACTACCAGAATCAGGGGGGGCAGATGGGGTCAGGATCGGCCGCCGCTCTGGCCTACAACCTGCAGCAGCAGTTCGCCGGCACGCAGCACTACGGGGGAGGAGCGCAGGGACCGCCGTTGGGACACTCGCACATTCAGGCGTCGGTGCAGCAGCAGATGCATCCGCAGTACCAGTACCATGTGCACCAGCATCAGAATCACCTGCAGACCCATCCGCTGGCGGCGCTGGCCAACACGAGCGGCCCCTTTGGCGGCACGCTGGCCAGCAGTGCCCGGGACTATGTGGACGGACTGCATCATGCGGCCCACTCACATACGCATCCGCATCAGCATCAGCATCCGATCTCGCATCCGCATTCGCACCACCCAACCGCATCGCATCATACGCATCACACGGCATATCCGCACTCGCATTCGCACCATCAGCAGCTCCAGCAGCAGCAGCATCAAGCCCACCATCACCACCATCTGCCATACTCGAAACTAGACTTAGATTACCCGAAACTGCCGCAAGAGCATAAGCGACAAGTAAGTTTTAAATTTGACGTAGACACGCTATCCCTAGATTCCTAAAAAAAAAAAAACTTTGAAACCCTTGAAAATCATCACCCCCTGAAATATAACCACCCCCAACATTGAAATTCAACTCATCGAAAGATCATCGAGATCATCAATCAGAATCAGAATCAGAATCAGCATCATCTGTATCCTATGATAACAACAATCAGAGAACGAACGAACGAACGTAAGAACCCAATTGGAAGGTTAGAGCGTCTATATGGGCATACCCTATAGCCTATATAGACAACTGGCCGATCTGCATTTAACGCTTTCCTCTGCATCAACCAGTTCTCGCGTAGGGAGAAGATAAGACACCAAGTATTATACATACAATATACAACATATATGATAATAATGTGGAATACTCTTAGTAGATCTAGGATAAGACAAGTTCGCAATGGAGTGTGGCGAGGGAGAACTATTGTTTCATGTGCCATTTTAAAGTAGCAACAGTAAAAGCGAAACAAAAAGTTATGATTTTTTGATTTTCGTTCTTTGCATAGAGCACTCAGGGCATACAAAAAAAAAAAATAAAACCGATTTCAAATTGTTGTGGATGTTGTTTATTTTTGTTTTTTTTTTTGTGGAAATTGTAGAACCTTGCTCTTGACTCTCAAAGATAAAAGACTGTATATAAAACTAAATGAGATTTACTCACAAATAACAACAATTTATATATACACAAAAACCAAAAATGCGAAATGAAATAACATTTACTTTAAACTTGTCTCGCCTGTGAAAGTTGCAAGTTTTGCGAGCTGATAAAACGAAAAACCAAAAAACCAAAAAACCAAAAAACGAAAAAACCAAAACGAAGCTTAACATTTTATTAAATCAAAACCTATAGAGTAACTCGTACTTAGTATGAACATTCGACAACTTAGCCAATTGTTAGTGCAGCACAGACACACACTCTATCTATATCTATAAGAGTAATCGAATAAGTAACGAGCCCTTGCATGGTCCTATTAATTCCACGCCATCAAGGACCTCCTGTACCCAACCTACTAACTACCTATTAACTAACCAGAAGCCTAACCAGCCCCATTATAACTTTTTCTCTCGCATTAGTGGGCATAAGTTGCATAGAGCCATTATTTACCTACGTAACTTAACTTTCTTCCGCCCCGTATATATGTAACACTAAGTTTTAACTCCCCCAAAAGCCTTCCCCAGCAAAAGCAAATGCAAGAGTTATAAACAAACTAGCGTGTGATTAGCAATGAAGGTCAATTATGAACGAAAACATGGAAATTTATATGTGCAATCTAGAACCGATTAGGTGGAGATCAAATCGAATCGAAACGAATCGAAACGAATCGAATCGCAACGGATCGAATCGAACTGGTTGAATTAGTTTTTGTGTGTCTGAGACATCAAGCAAAGTGAAACGAAGAAGCATTCAAAATGTGTCTATGCAAATATTGTATTGTATTATTATTATTATTATTATGTATTCGACTCAACTAGTGTTTGTATTTCGTATTCGAAGAAGCGCTTTATACACTCGAAAAAACGATAGGCATCGATAAGTATACAAAAAAATAATGAATGCCAGAATGCTAATCCATTGAACCTCTGGTAAAAATTTTGTTCTTTTTCATGCCCCAAATCAAAAACCAAAATTGATTAAAACTCACAATGAGCGCATGCTATGCTATTGAATACTTTTTAGTCGGACTTTCGATTATAACGTGCTAACTTGTTTTTTGTGCTTGAAAAATCGAAAATTTATGCATAGATATTTCTCAAAGAAAGAAAAAATTCTTGTTAAAGTAGTGGTTAAATATATATACTAGATGAATCGATACGGAGAAATGAATCTGGAGTTACTTTAATTTTGCCTAGTCGTAGTTTGTAGTTCGAGAACCCCGTAAAATATGCAGCAATCTTATAACAAAAACAAAAACAGAAATTGTGTTCATAGATAAACTTTTTTCAATTGTTTATATATATGTATATATATATATATATATATATACATGTGAGCGTAACCGAAAGATAAAAAGCTTATCACTAGCCAATTCGAAAGACAGCACTTCTGTGCGAGCGTGTGAATAGATAAGTAGATAAAAAGATACAAAGATACAAAGATACTATCCACTAGCTTTTCCTACTTCTGTTGTTCTTGTTGCTCAGCCAAACTTGATTCTCCTTTTCGACTCAGTTTGATTTGTAACCTTTTTCTACAAGACGACGAACAGAACAAGAAACGAGGCATTTGAATATTGATATAAGATATACACATTATACATAACACTCTATATACTTGTATTGTATTTGAATAATTATGGTTAATATTCTGATTATACGCATATACATTTATGGTCCCACGGGATTTACTATTTATACAATGATTTAACTGTAAACCTAATTAAGATTGCATTCAGACTTAATTCCGACAAGCAAGAATATTCTCGAAATCTGTTTAACTTAATCTAAGCTGTAAGCATTATAAAATGGAAACTTTTCGAAAGCAAACAATAAAATTACATACGAAAACCGAACGTCGAACATCGTTCCGAAAAAGCAACCAAACCAGTGAACTAGTCTGAGCCCTAAAAGAAACCACCAAACACACACCAAAACCGAACACACCCACACCCACAACAGCACACGGTAATACCAAAAAAAGGACACCCATCGAAGGCAACGGGTGCCAAACTAAACCAAAATATATATCATATAAAGGGGGGATTTTGGGGGGGCCCCAAGACATTCTCCATCCACCAACTCTCATCCTCTGCAAAGCGTAAGCTCGCTGTCCGCACCTCTTAATCGCTCATTTCACACTCAGTTGCAACAGCAAATGATACTTTGAGACAACAAGCAGACCAAGAACACCAACCACCACGTATCTGTAGTCCTGGCTAAGGATCCGTTCCCGGCCCAGGCAACCTCAATGTGTGGCAACACTCTCTGATCTAATTTTATCTGTACTTGTTCCTTTCCAACCCCTCAATCGAATCAAACAAACAAAACTCCACCCACCTCCCAACCAACCGAATCGAATCGAATCGAATCGAAATCCCAGCTGGACGAATTCCGTCTTGAAATACAGAGAAGGGATCAAGAGATCCTGGCGATGGCGGCCAAAATGAAAACCCTCGAGGAGCAGCATCAGGTAAATTGAAACGCTCGCGCGCGCCCAAGTTTGTCGTTTGCACAGTAAAGTAATTCCCGTCAGGACTACCAGCGGCACATAGCGGTGCTCAAGGAGTCGCTATGTGCCAAAGAGGAGCACTACAACATGCTGCAGACGGACGTCGAGGAGATGCGCGCCCGCCTCGAGGAGAAGAACCGCCTGATCGAGAAGAAGACCCAGGGCACGCTGCAGACGGTCCAGGAACGCAATCGCCTCACCAGCGAGCTCACCGAGCTCAAGGACCACATGGACATCAAGGACCGCAAGATCAGCGTCCTGCAGCGCAAGGTTAGACTCGCAATCCCTCCACCCTCCCAATTCCTTGCAGATACATCTGGCTATATCGTTTTCGCCCATAGTATCGTAAAAACAAGGTCAACACAAATTATGGCTTTGTAGAATCTTCTCAGGAGTTCAAGAAGTCTTTTAGTTTAAACATATAAAATAGGCATTACAATTTTATTATAAATTATAGATAAATATAAAAATAAATGTTTTTTATAAATTACATTTAGCTTGAACAGTATAAGACAAAAATGTTTTATTTAATTTATTTAGACTAACAAACGTTAACAAATTACTATTAACAAATCTTACTAACTCCCAAAAAAAAATGATACTAATAGGTACAAATTAGTTGGGAGGATAAATTAGAGTGGATCAAAATTATTCCCAAAATATGAGGAGATTTTTAAATAATAGTTTTTTTTTAATTAAATGTATTTTAGTTACAGTTTGTAAATCTCCCGAGGTTATAGAAACTCTATATCAATTGCCAAAATAGAGTAGAATGGTAGTCGAATAAAATATGCAGCTTGTGTTTAGGTCAACATTGAGCAATCCCCATTTCGAGTGCTAGCTTGTCAATGCCCGCTCTCTTCCACTAGATCGAGAACCTGGAGGATCTGCTGAAGGAGAAGGACAACCAGGTGGACATGGCGCGGGCCCGTCTGTCGGCCATGCAGGCCCACCACAGCAGCTCCGAGGGCGCCCTGACCAGCTTGGAGGAGGCCATCGGCGACAAGGAGAAGCAGATGGCACAGCTGCGGGACCAGCGCGACCGGGCCGAGCACGAGAAGCAGGAGGAGCGGGATCTGCACGAGCGCGAGGTGGCCGACTACAAGATCAAGCTGCGCGCCGCCGAGAGCGAGGTGGAGAAGCTGCAGACGCGGCTGGAGCGGGCGGTCACCGAGCGGGAGCGGCTGGAGATCAAACTGGAGGCGTCGCAGAGCGAGCTGGGCAAGTCGAAGGCCGAGCTGGAGAAGGCCACCTGCGAAATGGGCCGGAGCAGCGCCGACTGGGAGTCCACCAAGCAGCGGATCGCCCGCCTGGAGCTGGAGAACGAGCGGCTGAAACACGATCTGGAACGTTCGCAGGTACTCGTGCATTATGACCAGTTCCCCACCCCACCGACTTTACCCAATAACGTATCATACTACTATCATACTTCAGTCTGTTCGTATGTATGTTTGCGCTGTGTAAATATAATCGAAAGACTTGCATACATACTGCTATTGATAATCTATGAACCCATATGCATACACATATCTATGTGCTATCTGTATCTACATCTATATCTATATCTATATCTATACTATATATATATCTGTATCTGAATATGTATTTACATGTACACATTACGCATCCCAACTACCCAACAACAACTACAACAATAATAATAATAACTACAACATCAACCAATCAACCTAAAAATATAAATAAAAAACTCACCCAACAAAAAACCAAATATAGATGCAGCTAGAAGAACAGACCACACTACACAAAGTAAGCCCAAAAATCCAAATTCCAAACTTCCAATTACCAACTAGATTGCATAATATCGAGAATCGTAGCTTTCGAGTAAAGTAGTTTGAATTCTAAACAATTTAAAGTTAAAAGTATTCATTTTGAGATTGTAATCGAATATAGTATTCTGTAAGATCGTAAATTAACTCATTTATCTTGTTTTCATAAAGATAACACGAATCATAATGTCGATTATAGAAATTAGTTCCTAACGAAAACGTGTCGAATATCGCTATTATGCAAAAAGCGCACCTTTTATGTATCGCAAACCCATATATCGTATGTCGTACCATGTAACCAGCACTCGTTACTATGCAGAACACGTAATATTTTGTTTGCCTGCCCTCAACTGAACTTTCATTCGCCATTTAGAGCCAGCAGGCTGAAGTCTTACTTAGCCAACCAAAGCAATCAAAGCAACCAAGCCACCACCCACCACCAACGATTTCAGATCCGATAAAGCCCTGACATATTGCGCACTTAGATACTTAGACAGGATTAGCAGCACTCGCCTAGTCGCCTAGACGCCTAGTTGGGTTTTGATTTAATCGCTGTGCAGACAACTGAAGGTGTGAATGAGTTGAATTGCCGCCGAACATGCATATGTTACATACGTACCTATAAGCGTACCCTAAGATTAAGATATAAAACTATGTTCGTATCGTACTCTTGCAGAATGTACAAAAGTTAATGTTCGAAACGGGCAAGATATCGGTAAGTCGGCCAAAGCCGCTCACCCAGCCTAGTCCACAAAACGCAATAGCAGCCTGAAGTTCTATTTAGACCCAAAAAGCAGCTCCTCACGCCTTTCGTATTTCGAATTTCGATATCGAAATCGAAATCGAATTTAGAGAAACAAGCGTCAAATGCACCCAAAGCACAAATATCTATCCAAATCCGAATCCAAATCCAAAAATCTCATTGAATCATTCACAGCTTCTCATGGATTGGATCCATTTGTAATCAGCTCGCCTGCTGGACTCTCATTCATAAACATCACATCAACCGTATTCGAAACCTTTTTAATGAACACTTAATGAACATTTGCCAATGCCTTTAACTGCTTTCGATTGTTGTTTTGCACTTGTTATCCGCCCCCATTTGTGGTCAACCAACTAATTTCAATGTTTCCCGTTTCGCCGAAAGACAACGTTTGGCCGGACCACGATGACCACGTCCCAGGAGCTGGATCGCGCCCAGGAGCGGGCCGACAAGGCCTCGGCCGAACTGCGACGCACCCAGGCCGAGCTGAGAGTCACGCAGGTATGGTCCACAAACTCCCCCATTTGCCTGCGAACCGAGACAGCCATACTCTATACATATATCGATATGCATATCCGAATGCTCTTTTAGTTTAGCCTTACATATATTATTTACCTATACGTTACTGTATAAATCTCGAACTCCGAATCCAATCGCAATTGCAAGTGCAATTCTCATATACAACTATCTGTATGTGTGTATATATATATATTGATATTTATCGTAATATAAATCGTAACTCGGTGTGCGTGTGCTTTGTTGATGGACCAAACTTTCGCCTGGCAATGAGGAGATCTCTTCACACCCACACAGAACACAATCGAGGGACCCCACCCACCTGTCTATAACTTTCTCTGCTGCAACATGCCATCCCAAATTACACACACAAACCAACCAACCCGAGCACTTGCTATGGCCAAACATGCTGAGTCCTTTTCACTAGGGATAATGGGATAAAGTTGTTCAACGCGATTTAAACTCCTTTTATTTTGTTTGCTTCTTTCGTAACTCTAACATTAACTTTAACGTAACCGTAACCGTAATTGTAAATGTAGTAAGCTGTAATTGTAATTGTAAAATTTATTGCGAATACCACTGTTGAGACAATGTATACTAAAACCAAACTCTATCCAAACCGTTGTGCTTACATTCATTCTCTATATATAGGGCGAAACTGAAAAACGTTTTGTGAGTAAACCGCTTCCAAACAATCAATCAATCAAACAAGTTCTTAGTAAAGCAACTAACCGTAATTGAATTCGATTGCAAACTTGAACTGCATCTGACTATGCCAAAGTAATCCAAAGAAAACCCAAAACGAAAACCAAACAAAAAAAAAGATAACCAAAGCTAGTTGCAATCTGTCACTTGTTCAATTTAATGTAACTTGCATTGCCTGAAGTACTAACATAGCCATACCAGCATATACATACCCATACACACATGCCTATAAATATAGCATAAACATACATCGAATGACCTTGTACGATTTAATGCCCTGAGCTCATCTGCCACGTTTCCGGTAAACCTGCCCCAAAACCGGATGAAAGCAAAGTATGACAAAGTAATTCCGGTAGCTCAGCTTTTGGAGCATTTTCCCCAGGACTTTTACCCAACACACAGAAACGAACAAAAACGGACAGAAGGAAGCGGAAAGTTGCTTATATGCCCAGTTAATTGACTCAACTGCTCACTCGCTCTCACAAAAACATTGACACCCACACATCCGCTAGCATTTCGAACGCACACTTTGCCTTACTTTGCTCTCGCACTTTCTCTAATTTCCCCTTACTTTCCTCTTGCACTAATGAGCCATCTGTGGTCGTTTACTTCATCACGTACTCATTCTCAAATGCCCGCCATGTGTTGGCCCAGAGTTTTCGGGTCCGTCTGTTCTAAGCCATTACCCTTTTATTTTCTGCCATTCCATAATAGTATTGCCTTTTCTACATCCGATTAAAGTGTTTTGCAAAATATCCCAGAATAAAGTTTGTTAGATATCTCTAATTTCTTTCCCTTTTCCGCTTATAACAATTTTCACAAAAAAAAAAAAAAAAAAAAAAAAAAAATAAAAATTTTTTGTTTAAAATACTTTGTTAAATCTTTAACTAATATTCAAGTCCCCCAATCTCTTACAACCTTAAAAACCACTTCCATGAAAAGCTATTTTCTCCAAACTGTCCACCTTTCTCTTAATTTTCTCGATTCCTGCGCTATATCTCTCTCAATGTCAGCCGCTCGCTCGCAGCATTAATCGCTCTCTATCGCTCGCTAGTCGTTGTGATCGTGTTCGTAATCGTTATTGTAATTTAAGTACTATTTGTCGTTATATTTGTCGTTTGTCACCTTAATCCTCTGTTTTGTGTCTACTAATCAGTCAGACATTCAGTCAGTCAGTCAGTCAGTCGAATCAGTCAGTCGAATCAATCATTTAAGAACCTTTGTCCCACATAATGGCCTGTAAATAATATCCGTTATCCAACATCCACTCTACCCCACCTCTACAACATGATAAACCCTTCGATCCCACGATCGATTGATAACGAATCATTCGAAAATCGACCGAAAAACCTGAAACCTGAAACCTCAAACCAAAACCACAACAGTCGGATGCGGAAAGGGCACGTGAGGAGGCGGCCGCCCTGCAGGAGAAGCTGGAGAAGAGCCAGGGCGAGGTGTACCGGCTGAAGGCGAAACTGGAGAATGCCCAGGGAGAGCAGGAGAGCCTGCGCCAGGAGCTGGAGAAGGCGCAGAGCGGTGTCTCGCGCATCCACGCCGATCGTGACCGGGTAGGCAAAACTAACTAAGCACCCAACCGATAAAGACACATAAAACACAACCAACCGACCAACCGATCAACCAACCTCTACATCCTCACTTACCCAACCACCCATCCGTTGCACAGGCCTTCTCCGAGGTGGAAAAGATCAAGGAGGAGATGGAGCGCACCCAGGCCACGTTGGGCAAGTCGCAGCTGCAGCACGAGAAGCTGCAGAATTCGCTGGACAAGGCCCAGAACGAGGTCGATCATCTGCAGGACAAGCTGGACAAGGCGGGCACGGAGAACCGTCGTCTGGTGCTGGAGAAGGAGAAGCTCACCTACGACTACGACAACCTGCAGTCGCAGTTGGACAAGGCCTTGGGCCAGGCGGCCAGGATGCAGAAGGAGCGGGAGACCCTCTCCCTGGACACGGATCGCATTCGCGAGAAGCTGGAAAAGACGCAGGTATGCCCGGATCCCAATTCCAGCCTACTCCTCCGCCCCCCAGAAACCAAACACACCAAACCACACACACACAAACACACACCCATCTTCGAAGAGACTAGCTAACCGAAAATCTGTGACTGTAAACGTAACTGTGTTGTGCTAACCCCCCCCGAGAGATAGACTATTAACTAACACCACTGAAACCTCGCTTAGATCGATGTGATTGCTATTGCTTAACACCCAAATTCCCATATTCCCAAAACCCCTTTAACCTCCAAACCCGCCTTGTACATAACTATAACTATTTATCCCTAACATATATCTCTACGTATGCGTAACTATCTTTCAACTGTCACAAACCACATCACTCATAATAAAAAAAAAACGAAAAACACACAACTACGCAATGCCAGGTGCAACTGGGTCGCATCCAGAAGGAGCGGGACCAGTTCTCCGACGAGCTGGAGACGCTCAAGGAGCGCTCGGAGTCGGCGCAGACCCTCCTGATGAAGGCGGCCCGCGACCGGGAGGCGATGCAAACGGATCTGGAGGTCCTCAAGGAGCGCTACGAGAAGTCGCACGCCATCCAACAGAAACTGCAGGTAATTGACACCCAACAGGTATCCGCTGCCAGCAAAGCGACCAAAACGAAACCCAAAGCAATTGGCCATCCATCCCCAAAACTAAAAACTAAACTCTATACTAAAATACATTGTCTGTACTGCATATTGTTATTGAAAAACCGCATGAGAACTGGACTGAAAACCCAGCATAAATTGGCTGTTTGTGTAAATCAGTAGCTAAATGCCATTGGCCAAGTCAGTAGCACAACCATATCATGCCAATCCCTTTGCTTTTGTTATTGTAGATGGAGCGCGACGATGCGGTCACCGAGGTGGAGATCCTCAAGGAGAAGCTGGACAAGGCGCTGTATGCCAGCCAGAAGCTGATCGACGAGAAGGACACCTCCAACAAGGAGTTCGAGAAGATGCTGGAGAAGTACGATCGGGCGCAGAACGAGATCTATCGCCTGCAATCGCGATGCGACACGGCGGAGGCGGATCGTGCCCGCCTCGAAGTGGAGGCGGAACGATCGGGACTGGCCGCCGGCAAGGCACGCGAGGATCTGCGCAAACTGCAGGACGAGAGCACCAGGCTGCAGGAGGCCTGCGATCGGGCAGCGCTCCAGCTGAGCCGCGCCAAGGAGTGCGAGGACAATGCGCGCAGCGAGCTGGAGCACAGTCGCGATCGCTTCGACAAGCTGCAGACGGACATACGGCGGGCGCAGGGCGAGAAGGAACACTTCCAGTCGGAGCTGGAACGGGTCACCTACGAGCTGGAGCGGGCCCATGCCGCCCAGACGAAGGCGGGCGCCAGCGTGGAGGCGGCCAAGGAGGAGGCCGCCCACTATGCCGTCGAGCTGGAGAAGATGCGCGACCGGTACGAGAAGAGCCAGGTGGAGCTGCGCAAACTGCAGGACACCGACACCTTTGGCCGGGAGACGCGACGCCTCAAGGAGGAGAACGAGCGGCTGCGCGAGAAGCTGGACAAGACGCTGATGGAGCTGGAGACCATACGCGGCAAGTCGCAGTACGAGTCGGAGTCGTTCGAGAAGTACAAGGACAAGTACGAGAAGATCGAGAACGAGGTGCAGAACATGGAGTCCAAGCTGCACGAGACCAGTCTGCAGCTGGAGCTCTCGAAGGGCGAGGTGGCCAAGTTGCTGGCCAACCAGGACAAGCAGCGATCCGAGCTGGAGCGGGCCCACATCGAGCGGGAGAAGGCGCGCGACAAGCACGAGAAGCTGCTGAAGGAGGTCGATCGTTTGCGCCTGCAACAGTCCTCGGTGAGCCCCGGCGATCCGGTCCGCGCGTCGACGTCCTCCTCATCCGCTCTGTCCGCTGGCGAGCGGCAGGAGATCGACCGCCTGCGGGACCGCCTCGAGAAGGCCCTGCAGTCGCGCGACGCCACCGAGCTGGAGGCCGGTCGCTTGGCCAAGGAACTGGAGAAGGCGCAAATGCATCTGGCCAAGCAGCAGGAGAACACCGAGTCCACGCGCATCGAGTTCGAGCGCATGGGCGCCGAGCTTGGGCGACTGCACGATCGCCTCGAGAAGGCCGAGGCCGAGCGGGAATCGTTGCGGCATGCGAACAAGGCAGGTGGTGCCGCTGCCGGTGGCGGAGCCGGTGGTGCCCCCCATCCGCAGCTGGAGAAGCACGTGCAGAAGCTCGAGTCCGATGTCAAGCAGCTGGCCGTGGAGCGGGAGCAGCTGGTGCTGCAGCTGGAGAAGAGCCAGGAGATCCTCATGAACTTCCAGAAGGAGCTGCAGGCCGCCGAGGTGGAGCTGCAGAAGACGCGCGAGGAGAACCGCAAGCTGCGCAACGGCCACCAGGTGCCGCCGACCGCCGCCGCCCAGCCCGCCGGAGCCTCGCCGGCCGAAATCCAGGCCATGCAGAAGGAGATCCAGGCGCTGCAGCAGAAGCTCCAGGAGTCGGAGCGCGCCCTGGCCGCCGCTGGTCCCCAGCAGGCCCAGGCCCAGGCTGCAGCGGCAGCGGCAGCGGGAGCGAGTCGCGAGGAGATCGAGACGTGGCGCAAGGTCATCGAGCAGGAGAAGGGGCGTGCCGACATGGCCGACAAGGCGGCCCAGGAGATGCACAAGCGCATTCAGGTGAGGATGGGGGCGAATTGGTCAAGCCTATTGCAGATGCAACTCAGCACAAGACAACTTAACCACTTTCTAACACATTTCAAATCACTTATTTTAACACATTTTTTTAAGTCAATATGTAAGTATTTAACATTATCATTTGGTAGTTAGTTCCTTATGGGTTCTGTGTTTCAAATTACTTTTAATGGAATGTTTTTGAAAATACCCAACAAAACTTGTTCACATTTTAAATACCAGACAAGACAAGAGTGAATAATATACGCTTGGCCTTTACCCGCTTAGCTTATGGACCAACACATCAAGGACCAGCACGCCCAGATGCAAAAGATGCAGCAGCAGATGCAACAGCAGCACCAGCAGGCGGCGCAGCAGCAGCAAAGCGCAGCAAGTGCCGGCGGAGCGGACGCCAAGGAACTCGAGAAGGTCAAGGGCGAGCTGCAGGCGGCCTGCACCGAGCGAGATCGCTTCCAGCAGCAGCTGGAACTTCTGGTCACAGAGCTGGAAAAGAGCAAGGTAAGTTAACTATTTCGGTACAAAAAAAGGAGTCTTACTAACCAAGAGTACCTTCCCCAGATGTCCAACCAAGAGCAGGCCAAACAGCTTCAGACCTCGCAGCAACAAGTGCAGCAACTACAACAGCAGGTGCAACAGTTGCAGCAGCAGATGCAGCAACTGCAGCAGGCTGCCAGTGCGGGAGCAGGCGCCACCGATGTGCAGCGCCAGCAGTTGGAGCAGCAGCAGAAGCAGCTGGAGGAGGTGCGCAAGCAGATCGACAACCAGGCCAAGGCCACCGAGGGCGAGCGCAAGATCATCGACGAGCAGCGCAAGCAGATCGACACCAAGCGCAAGGACATGGAGGAGAAGGAGAAGAAGATGATCGAGTTCGACGTTCAGTTGCGCAAGCGCAAGGAGCAGATGGACCAGCTGGAGAAGTCGCTCCAGACGCAAGGAGGCGGCGCAGCGGCCGCCGGCGAGCTCAACAAAAAGCTCATGGACACTCAGCGACAGTTGGAAGCGTAAGTCTTTAATTCCAATTTAAAGGATAAGTCAAAGGAGGGATTTTTATTATTTGGCGCCCACGGGTGGATTGACATTTTTTGGTGTGTTAATACTATGATACTTTCCATTTCCCATTCCAGATGCGTCAAGGAGCTGCAAAACACAAAGGACGAGCACAAGAAGGCGGCAACCGAAACGGAGCGTTTGCTGCAACTGGTACAAATGTCGCAGGAGGAGCAGAATGCCAAGGAGAAGACCATCATGGATTTGCAGCAGTGAGTGCTTGGCTGACATAAGCATTTGACTACCTTCGACTAAAATCATTTCGTTTCTCCCCATTTTAGAGCCTTAAAGATCGCTCAAGCCAAAGTCAAACAAGCACAAACGCAACAACAGCAGCAGCAGGATGTAAGTTCATAGTAACTCAAAGATACTTGGATATCCCTAAGCCCCTTTTTCTTCCTCCATTTTAAGGCTGGGCCAGCTGGCTTCTTGAAGAGCTTTTTCTAAACAGTGCCCCCGAAAAAACAGAAAATACACACATCTACAGATGCAGATGAGGCAAAAGGAACACACCCGTACTATTTACCCAAAAGCGATAATGGAAATCCAAAACAGCAAGAAAATACCAAAAGCACTGTCTACTATTTTGTATACTACCGATGCCGATACCAATACCAACTATGCAGTATTTCTACGACTCACACATACACTATACACAAACACACACACACACACACATTTGTAAATGACACCATGTAAATGCAATGCGATATGCAAATTATTTGATATTTATGTGTATTGTGTAATTAGGTTGCCGCTATACTCAAATTGTGGATGCATTTAAAAGTCAGCTCGTATAGCGTACTTTGTAAACTCTCTTAACTTTCTCTAACTCACTAACTCAATCCTTTTTCGAACTCAAACTCGAACTCAACTTAAAGTTTATCGTTAGCCAAGACACCTTATTAGCCCAAATTTCCCCTTGAGAGCTTTCTGTCCCTCACTTTCTCTCTGTCGGTCGGAGCTGCAGAACTTAGACTACGTCCTCGGGCACTGCATCCCCCTAGTCAATCCAACACTATTTCCAGTAAGACCCACCCAGCCCCACATCAGCCATTAGTTTCCCAACTGCGCGAATGTGATGAAATCGAAACGAGGAGAAAAGCAAAGGGGTAATTGCATTACAATTGAAGAAGCAACCAACTGAGTGCTGTCTTGGACCCAGAGTGGAGCATGTACTTACAATTATCGACGATATATATATATATATGCTAGCCCCTGTTATAGTTAGTTAAACATGAACATCAGCCCATCATACGCCCACACAATCACACTGTACATAAAGCATTGGCATCAGACTCGAAGCGGAAAAAGTATATCTATACAGATACGGATACAATATGTAGAGCAATAAATGATAAACCACAGATAATACAAATATGATATGGACACAACTAACATATATTCAAAGTATGTATGTGTGTACATGTAAATTGTAGTTACATGCATTGCGATTAAAAAAATTATATTGCCTAGCCTTTAGCCGTGTACCAAAGAACTATCAATATAGACCCAAAAGGAGAACGGAGAACACTACCTACCATTCGTATCAGCTAATATGGATATTATCGATAGAAATAAACTCGAACATCAACTACAAACAAGTGCAATCTCTATTTTAATTAGTTAAATCTACACGATATCCCCACGTTCCTTAGCCCCCGACAAAATAGATCGAGTCCATTACGCAAGCTTTACCCAAGTCAGCTGTGAATGCGCATTAGTAAGAGTACTTATAAAGTAGATCGATAGTTTCAGGATCGCTCGTAAATGTTGCTTTTGGTTTAGATGAAGTGCAAAAAGTGTTATTGTTATCAGACATTAATGACTTATACCCCTATAATGCATATTTACATACCTATGGCGGCATAGTAGCAAAATGTGTACAAACTGTAGAGTACCAAATTTAAATAGCAGGAAATTAGTGTTTTCATTGAGTGCATTTTCGTTCCCTATATTTTACTTAGAAGGAAGAAAAAATCGGGAAGTGGATATATTACGTGAGATAACGTAGAACGATGTAAGGAGTTATCACTGCCAGTGTAAGCAAGAATATTGATAGAATGGAAATTTAAGGTTCGTTTAATCCTAGGGTTTATCATTAGATTATCATTTGACTTTCGGTTACTATAGAAAACCAACCACGAAGACATTCAGCAAACGACGAAGCAAAAGACACAACACAATCATATCATACAAGCCTATATCATAACCCCAAGAACGAAAGGATAGTAGACCCTAGAGGGAAACTCTTTAGCGCTTTAAATTATCCTCAGATCTTTCCACGCCCACTAGCCGAATGGAGATCGATTGTTCAATTGATAGAGTACCCCTCCACCACTTAGGTAATCGATTAACGACCAAGTAAATTACGATATAGCTGCACTCTTTGCTTTGATTTCAGTTTTGCGATCGTTCGATTTGTGTACATAAGTTAGGGTCCTCCTTTTCGCCCCATTCTCTCGCCAAAAAATAAAAGTTCCCCAACAAGTTCCTATACCAGGAGCCTCGGGTTTTACGGTGCAGCTGAAGGGTAGGAAACAATACGAGTTCGCGAGTCAAGTAACAATTAGTAACATCTTCATGCTCGACAGAAGTGTACATAAGTGTCTAGTTATGTAAGCATGACAGGAACTGTATAATATATGAAAGTTTACTATATACGATATAATGTAATCATCAATCTATATGCAGACCATTGAGAACACGAGAACAATTAACTATCGACAAATCAAACCGAACAAACTTCACCGTAGGACACATTACTCTGGCTACCGAAGCTAAAAACAAGTTAAACACCACGTTGACAATACAACCACCCACAAAAAAACACACTTTGACACCAAAAAAACACCCTTTGAACACGACCCATTTAGGATGGATGAAAGCCAACATATCTGCAGCAAGATAGCGCTAATCTCATGTTAACCGACGACAAAACAGATGATATCTTTGCGAAGCAACATTTTGAAAGCGATTTCCTAACGCTGCCAGTTAAGTTCTTGGTCACTTGGTCACTCAGTCACTTTCACCTTCGATCTCGATCTCGATTTCCAGTTATAGAAGATGAAACGTTTGCCTTTAACTACTTAACTTAACTTACCACGTATCGTATTGTTAGCCTAGATAGACTCAATTACAGCAGCAGCAGCAGCAGCAGTGACGAACAAACTGAGAATAAGAAAATGATCTAACTAACGGTCTATCTACTTATAGTATTTGCCGTAAACACTTTAATCATATTATCCCCGCCGTCGTGTACCCTACTTACAAATACAAATACAATTACAAATACAAATACGAATAAAAAACTAACGAATAGCAAGAAAAGCTTCGACAACTTTTTCTATACAAAATCTAGCGAAAATAATAAATGATAAATCAAATGATAACAAGCAAAAACACAAAATCTCGAATAATGTAATTTAGCAAATTGTAAACTCAATATAGGCACACACACACAAACACACACACACACACACTCTAACGCAGACCCGAATATCAGATGATGATAGATTAAATGAATTTATATGGGAAAGCCTCGATCGAGAGTCGATCGAGCATTACCTATCGATGAATTAACCCCAGTGTGTACTTCTCTGTACATAGACCTATATATATAATTATTTATGACTAGAGCAAAGCATACCATAGATGAAAATATAGGAATATACGGATACAAAAACATATACATAGCAGATATGGAAAGAGAGCGCAAATTATATAGATACTTCAAGCATCATCCATCAAAGTTCAAGGCCGAAGATCGTAGTCGGAGCAAAAACTTGCATAGAGAGGAGGAGGCAGAGCAGAAGTGTAAGCCCCAAGACACCAAAACACCCCAAACCGAATCCGATACCGAAATATCCGCAGAGAAATGAGAAAAACAAACAACAATTTCGTGTAAACATTTTTTTAAACAAGTTTGGTGATCTACGATATTGGTAATAATTATTGATAAATAAAAAATAAAATAAAATAAAATAAAATAAAATAAAATAAAATAAAAGGATATATATATATATATATATATACATACATATATTATACAAATATATGAAGTAAAGCCTAGTACTCAGATCGCCGAACTTTTTTGGAAAATGAAAAGGTCAGTTTTGACACAGTGTGATCAGTCAATAGATTAAAATCACCGATAGTTGAACGGCCGCACTGCGGTGTTGAATTTCAATTTTAGTTTTTACACAATTAAATTACACATTAAATCTTTATGATCCAAATAGAATTTTGCCGATCTGAGCACTAGACTTTAAGCAGGAGTAGGCAAAAATGAACGGAAACAAGGGGAGGCATACATAAAGTACGAGTAAATATTTATTATATAATGTTTTTTAAGTAACTTATAGTAAGCATTATATATACACACATATATATAAATTATACATATATGAAACTACATAAGTTTACAAGGTATATGACATAAAAAAAAAACAAAAACAACAAAAACCAAATTAAGAATCAACCACAACAACAAAGAGCAACATAAAAGGTAAACAACAACAACAAAAAAAAACGCAACCGCAGCAACTAAACAAAGTAAACGATTAGAGATGAGGTGGGAAAATATAATAATAATAAAATAAATAAATTTATTATATACATACATACATAGAAGAATATTACAAATGGGAGAAAGTCGAGCAAAATGAAAGCGAGATGAAAATGATTATTTGAAACATGTTCATTATATATAAATGTCATTACAAATGTTCTTCAAAACTGCCTACCAATAAAATATATTTCAAATAATATCAACCAGTGTTTTTTATAAATTAACTGACGTTTGGGTTGCGATTTTAGTTGAGTACTCTGGCCATGAAGATTTTTAAAATCAATTAAATACAATTTTCATCTAAAGTATTTTTGAAATTTCCGCCTTTCGACGTAGCGCTGCCACATCAAGCAAATGTAGCGTTTCCCAATTTGTACACGGCTTCTGTAAAGTAGATAAGTAAACTATAAATAAATTAAAAGTCATGTATCATATATGTAAAATGGTTTGAGCCTTTGCTAACACTATTTATTCTTTAAATCATTAATCAAAACTTTTGTGAAAATAATTGTTTTACTTAAGTTCATCAGAAAGGTTAATTTGTTAAAAACACACTTACAATTTATTTATTTATTAAAAAAATAATTTAAGGCAATAATAAATTTATTTAAAAAATAACACAACGTTCTTGTTTAATTTAAGTAGAGCAAGCAACCTACTCTTTTAAAAACTAACCTTTAAAATATATGTAAATAAAATTTTAAGTCAAGACACTGCATAGATTTTTTATATTAAGTAAATAACCATAAGTGAATAAACAACCAAGAAATGACACTAAAGAAGCAGCCAAGAAAACTACAAGAATGTACTTTTCTCCTTTTTTTGCCACTTGGAAAATGGCCTAAAGCACTTAGAAAATCAATTTTAGACCGCTGAGAATAAAGTTCCAAGTTCCAGGGAAACTTTTGCCCGCACCGCAGCGTTTAACATTCTTGTGGGATAAAATATTTGGAATGGCTGGCAAAAATTTAATCAGCCCTGGAAGAAAAACATTCATTACGGCTCCTTTATTTATTTTATCAGCTTGGAACGACAATATGCCCCAAACTCCGCTAGCGAGGCTGCAGTTAGTGGGTGCGATGGGGTTTTTTTGGGTGCTTTTTCGGGGTGTTTTTTGGGGCTTGGCAAGTGGAGCAGTGACAGCTGCCCTATAAAATATTAAAAGTCGCACACATACACAAACAAACGGGCTGCAGAACCTTGTGTGATGTAATCCATATTGCTGGAGCCATGTAACGCAGGGAAGGGTATACCAAGTGTGTATGTATATATACCCCTCTGCCTTTGTATATAAAGCACATGATTCTTATGTGCAATGCTCATTACATGGCGCCATATATTTAGAACGCTTCTGGCCCACCTACAATTGGATTACCAACAACTGGCTTGCGGAAAAAGGAAAATCGAGGGAAAAGCTCCTTGGGCGCCACACCCACCCACCCACACCCCCGCCCCTTTGTTGGCGCATGTGCCGCAGTCGACGCCACCGTCGCTGCCTCTTTTATCGATTGACCCAATTTGCTGGCACATACAAGTTGGGCGCTTCTTTATCTCACTCCCAAAGCAGCTTGTATGTATGTATGTACATAATTTGTATCATCCACCCCCGCACATTCCAATGGTTTCCTTGTCCTTTCAACGTCCTTTCCACACGGGAAAAACACCACGCTCCAAAGGGCGACTATTTATACTTAGTAGGTGCCTAAGAATTAAACTTTCGAATTAGCGCTTAACTTTAGTTCAAGGTTCTTAGAAGATTTGGGTTAAAACGTTTCTATTAATGTAGTTAATGCTCTTAAACCACTCTTTACAGTTCTTAAGCTGATTAAAAATGTTAGCTTCTGTTTTGGGCTACAAAAGTTTCTAAAAAGTTTTGAAGTTAGTTGAAATAGTTAAAATGAAACTTTGAATAAAGGCTTTTTAATAAATGCTTAGCTAATCTAGAGACTTATAAACTAGTTTTAGTCTGCCCCCAATTTATCATCCAGTGGGTTATCTTCGGTCCGAGTTCCTTCCATAAAACTCCACAAAAGATAATCAAGAAGAACGCCCATTGCAGCGTTTTGGCCTAGAAACCATAGGAAAAAAAAACATTAAAAAAGAGAAAACAAAGAACGGAGTGTGGAGAATGGAGAATGGAGAACTGGGCAAATAGTAGACTTTTGATCACGAAGAAACGACAACAAAGCGCTTGTTTGATTATGCTGGCCAAGCATAAAAACCAAACGTTCAAATGCCGCAGATACAACAAAATACGACATACAAAATACAAAATACAAAATACAGATGTACATACACACACGACACGTGTAATTGACCTACTTTCCCCACTCGAAAAAGTGTATCTGTGTGTGTGAGTGAGTTGCCTGTCCAGCTATTTGGATGCCATAGAAAAATGGAAAAGAAGAAAACGAAAAAGCGAGTGGAAAGAGCAGAAGAGACGGCTGAAAAAGCACAAAACGCAGATAAGATAAACGAAGCCACTGCGGTACAGACATATGTACATATACATATACAGACTGTTAGAACCCTGATCGTGTGTAATAAACCAGAATTTGTGTAATTAAAGCAGGGAATATGTAAAAAGTATCTTGCAGATACGAAGTACATACAAAAGAGCTTTTACAAAGCTCACAGATACGCATTAGCTGCAAAATAAAATAGTTTGTCGCCCTGTCGCCGGCCACATTTGTGGCCATGTGGCTGGCGACCTATTTACTACGGCATATCCATCAGATACATGCACAGAACAATTGCTTCAGAATACAACCAAAAAAACAAAAAAAAAAGGGGTTTTCGTTGAGATCTAGTGGAATGCGCTGACTGCGGAATCGAACAATGCTGAAAATGCAAAAATACGAAAATACGAAAATACGAAAATGTGACAAATCACCGCCCTCTGGAGGTGGCCAAAATGGAGCCCAAGCCCCGATAGGCAATTACACGCTATCTGCTGGGGCCTGCAGATAGTTTTGTTTGCTCTCCGGCGCGACACTGATAAAGGCAATTAGCAACGAACATGTGCGGCGAAACTGGAGAATCGAAAAGACCAGAAAGGCTGGCAAAACACTGAAAACGCAGCGCTAAGCGAGCAACTTAATTAATTAGTTTCGAGCGAAACGCCCCCCGCGTTTCTCCAACACAGAGAACAGAAACACCAACGAAAGTTACGAAGATAGTCTGGAAATCCCTATTGATTCGTCTAGATTCTAAATGACTTATGTTAAAATTTTTGAAAAGGAAACTTTAAGCCCTGGCAAGAAAAAAATATAATTAAAATAAAAAAAATTACTTTTGAATATATACGCCTTAGATCAACCTATAAAGAACAATGAATTGTTTCTGTGAAATGAAAAAATTACTTTAGGCCGAAGAAAATGAAAAATCAAAAAAGAATTCTCATTTTAGTAACATTATTTTCCAGGCAGTAAATATAATATTCCAAATACAAGAATTTGGTTTCCAGTGAAGGTACTTTACTGACCGCACTTTGCAGTTAGTCAGCAAAGTAGTCAGAAAGTCAGCTTGCCGTGTTTGCCGATTGTTAACACCCCGTCGTCGTCCGGCTATTTTTGCCGCTGATGTAATCACCTTTTTCAGCAAGAACAGTGCCCCCTTTCAAGAAAGAAAAACAGTCCATGTAACCAAAATCAGTTTTGATTTAGTTTCGTCAGTCGCCGGATCGCGTCGACCCGCAAAATACCCTATAACTGATTGTTTCACAGACGTAAGACAGAGAAATTACACACCGATTGGATGGCTTAACCTAAGATTAGCATTACGTTAAGATTTTGAGCCTCAGCTGGCTCAATCGGAGCGGTCCGGACTGGAGATCTGGTCGCCGGCGAAGGTCACATGGGCACTGGGTACCTGGCCCGCTGGAAGCGTTCGCACGAGCTCGGAACGGCGGCGTTTCAGCTCCTGTCGCGAGGAGCTGAGCCGCTTGCTCCTCTTCATGTTCGTGAACCGCACGTAGATCTTGCCCCGCCTCTCGGTGCGGTAGTAGTTGAGCCGCTCCTGCGGGAACAGCTGCAGGATCTCCTGCTCCAGCAGGTGGCTCCTCTGCAGGGTCAGATGCAGCTGGTTGTCCTCGTAGTAGCTGCACACCAGCTGGATGAGCAGCAGCCGCTGCACTGCATCCAGCGGCTCGTCCTGGCCAATGCGCTCGAGCAGAGTCTGCGACCGCAGGCCCGAGGCTCGCAGGATGCCCATAACACTGACCTCTTGGTCGGCCACTGCACTCTGGTCCTCTTTGCTGGCTGAGGTTCCTCCCGAGGAGCCGACCCCCGATCCAACCTCCACCGTCCTAGATTGCTGCTGCATCGGCATCGGCATCGGCATCAGCTCCTGCTTGACCAACATCATCTCGTTGGCAATCTGAGCAGGGGCCTTGTCCAGGGGCAATTGAAAGGGTACGGGCATGCTCCTTGGCTCACTGAGGGCCACCAGCGATTCCGCCGGTATGGTCTTGGCCAGTTCCTCCGACTTCTCCATGTCCTCTGGCAATTCCAATGGATGTCCCGTCACCAGGGGAGTTTGCCCCGGCCCCGGGCAGTCGGACTGCGCCTGAACCTCCGGACAGCGGCAGCCGTGACAGTGGATCGACCCCTGACTCTGACCCTGGCCATGACCACCCTGCAGCGGAACATTTAGCCAGCGACGCCATCGCTCCAAGTGGTGCTCGAAGCGAATGCGGGTCCCGAAGCGAAAGTTACGCAGCAACTCGGACAGATGATGGCGCTTGATCATCTGCAGCTCGTCCACGTTGATGGCCTCATCTGAAAAACAGTTGCGCAAAATGGTCTTCAATAGATCTTTAATAATAGAAAGTTGGTTTTCTTTCAATTACTTTTGAACCACCAAAAAAATCCATTTGAAGCAATCCAATTTTTTCGAAAATCAACTTAAATTTTATTTGTCTTAAAAAAAATAATTTTTAAATTTTTTAAAACTTTTGTTTTTAGGTATAAACTCTGTCAAACAAAACTTAAAATATACGTTAAAATTTTAAGTGCAAATTGAGGAACTGGTTTTAAGAGTAATTAAATCAACACCATTATATTTTGCTTTATTTTCTTTAAGATTTGTTTTTTGACTCCATATTTAACACGGAAAATAAAACATAGATAAGTACTTTTTATTTTATTGAAGAAATAATATATTTACTACGAGTTGTTTATAGTTCTAAATTCTCAAAGGCTAGTAGAATCATATGACCCGCAATAGTAAGAATCTTAACTGGACGAAACAAAAAGTTAAAACCAATCACCGGCGACACACTCAGGGTTAAAGTCGCGTTCTCTTTTCGCCCGCTCTTTATCCACCGCTCTTTATGAGTTTTTGTTTGTTTACCTTGCAGGTGGGGCAGCAGATCGGCGACATCCCACGACTGCAGAAGCTCGCGCAGCTCTTCGTAGTCCTCCTTTCCAGCCATGTCGAGTAGCTGTAGGCCGTGCGATTCCAGTGTGGAGTTTTCCACGGATCCAGAGCCACGTGGCATGTGTGGGGGCGATGATGTACACGGATTCATTCGACTACAACCGGGCGTACATCCTTTCTTCACGAATGAGAATGCAGCACTGAATTTTTGCAACAGGCGCGTTCTCTCCCGTTCTCACCCTCACCGCAATCGCACACACACAAAGGCGGTCACGAATACATACGGTTTTCGTTTTGGTTTCATCGCATTCTGTTCATCATCGGTTTTGTTTCGTTCATTCGTTCGTCCAACGAAGAGCGTATGTACCAAGGGCGTGGGAAAAGGGGTTTATTGCTTTGTATTATAAAGTTATACTTTAATTTTAACATAAACAGTTTTAATCTTTGCCAACTGCACATATGTTTTATATTGAAAAAAGATTTAGTTATCAAAATCCCGTTGAATCTAATCATGTCTACACCCATCATATGCATGTACATACCTGCGCTGGCGTGTGTGTACATTCGTGTGTATGTATGTAAATGCAGTGTTTTCGTGCGTTCATGTTTTTGTGTGTTGCAGGTAAGTTTGTTTCATTGTTTGTTGATAAATTTTAGCTTCAAACAGTCAACAGCTAAAGCCCCTTTTTATCTACAAATGTACATATGTATGTATGTACATACTAATTCTACTTTACATAACTTATGTGATTTTAAAAATAATTATTAATTACTCTTTTGTTTAAAGCAATTAAATCTGTTTGTAGTTCGAAACTTTATTAAATATATTTTTTTTTGTTTTTGAAAATACTTCATCTAAATAATCTGTTTAATCAGAGTATTTAAAAAATTGCAAATTACTATTTGAAATATGTAAATAATTCTCAAAGCATATTGTTGACCTATCGAATTGGAAATGTGATTGAGATAGATTTTTAAACAAATATTTATATTGGCTTTCACAGAAATTCTAGCCTGCAATACAACACCCCAGTCTAAACCGATCGAGGAGTAGTTTTCGAGTTCCGATTCTGAAAAGTGGGTGGTTGGGGTACATAAGCGGTCACTGACGTTGACGTTGACACTTCTGCGTTGCTGAGTTGTTTGAAATATGGGTTTGAAATTCAACCTCAAGACGTCATCAACATCCATGGCTCATAAGTGAAGTTAGCCAACGAGCGACGAACGCGCTGGCACAGCGGTTCAATGAACTTTCTTTTGTAAATGTTTTCCTTTCTTCGCTCTCTCTCCCGGTGTCCCTCCCTCTCCATCTCCCTCTTTTCTTTCGGCTCCCTCTTTTTTGTTTACTTAGCTGCATTGTCGCTGTGAGTCGGCTGCCTTTTCTTTTCTTTTCTTTTCTTCTCTCTCCTTTTCCTTTTCTCATTTTTCGGACGGCGACTTTCCGGAGTCGGAGTTTCTTCTGTCTTTTCGGGTTTCCTCTTTCTAAGAAGGGGAACTGCAACTTGTTTGGTTCAAATGCCTTCATTAACGACGCACACAAAAGAGGAGGGGGGGAGGGGAAATGTGGGGAGCCAAATGGAAATTCCGTGTCACGGTTTCCCGGACTCAACTCACTCCCAGGGAAAAGTGCCCAGTGCCCGGGCAAACGACCTTCTCATCCCCCGAAATCGTCTCGTTTTACATTTTTCGCAACCTCTACCTGACCTGAGAAAATCGTGGGGTCGGGGGAAACCCCCGAATCCAAATCGAGCTCACTGATACGGAAAACTCAAACCCAAAATCCGTAATTCAAACGCTGAAGAGACCTTCTAATTATATTTAATTCAGAGGCTGTGAGCTCTTTGGTTACCAATTAGGCGCAGATTGTTTGCCTTTGGCCAAGATTGCGGCCAGGAAATATAGCACCAACACTGTCAAAAAAGTATCCCTAAATGGGTCATTAAAAGGTAAGATGAAATAGTCCACATCAAATATCCACTTTTTTTTTGAAGTAGCCGATATATGCTTTGCAATATAAAATTTTAGAAATTACCAAAAACAACTTAAATAGCTAAAATATATCTGAAAGATTTATTTTTGATATTGTAAAATTACATAAATATCTTTTTAAACAGATTGACCAAATATTTATTTTTTTAATATATGTATGTAGTAACAAAATCTTAGTTTCTGACTTTTAAGAACAAGTACAAGAAGGCAACAAAAAATAAAGAAATTTTCAGGGTCTTTCTTATTTACATACACCATTTAATGAAACGAGCTGATTACATTCATTACAATATCTACTTCCTATGCGATCAAGATCCGTTTTTCAAGAAAACATATCAAAGTATGTATGTATGTACCTTTATGTAAATGTCAGCAAACTGGTTCTATTTCAAAATACCCTCCACTAACATTGCAATTGCATTCGGAGAAATGTAAAAAAAAAAGTAAACAAAGGAAGTGGAAGCCCCCTTGATAAGACGCAATTTCTTGCCAAGTTATCATTCTAATGAAAAATTCCTTGGCCACCAGGTAAAAATAAGAAACAAAGAGACATTTTCTGCCCCTATATGTTCTTTATGCAGGGCGAATTGTTTCACAAAAGAGAAGTGCAAAAGAATGTGGAAACATGCGCAGTAGTACTAACCGACTTTCCAGGGAGGGTTTGGTTTTGGTTTTGGGTTTGGGTTTGGGTGTGGGGTACTATTGAGGTTTTGAGGTGGGAAAAAGCACAGGGGTGACTGATTTTGATTTTTTTCGGGAAGCGGAGGTTGCATCGGCATTTTTTTGTAGCCCTTTTTAAACTCCGATTTCAATTCAATAGCTCTAGAGGTTTTGAGCATGGAAATGCCCACCCCTGGATCCATCACTGCTCCTAATCAATTCGAAGGCGGAAACACTAGAAGTTCTATCGCCTGGAAGTGACTAAGTTTTCATTGCTCTTATCAACTGCGCAGCAGCTGGCCAAGTTTTTCCGCCTTTTGTGCGCAATTCCCGGTCGTCAGTTTTCAGATCTTCCATTCAAGAGCGTTTTCCTTGTCGTTGGGGGCTGTGCGTTGAGTGGGCCTTTCGAGGTCTGAGATTCTGCCGCAGACTTCTTGGCGAGCAGCGACGCCAGCGATGCCAGCGTTGACGTCGTGTGACTCGGTGACCTACACACTGGCACACCCCCAAATCCCCAACCCCAACCCGAACCCCAAAGCCCCAACCCCCTACAGAGTACATGAAAAAGCTTATACAGAACTCAACTGTATGTACACTTTTATGGCCATGTGCTGGGGCTTTTGTGTGCTGTGTGCTGTGTGTTGTGTGTTGTAGCCAAGCGCTACGCACATAGAAACGATTTTTGGCCGACCAGAAAGCGAGTTGGAGTCTGATGGGGCATTCGCCAATCTTGATCCGCTGGCATTAGACGCGTTGCGTTGCGTTGCGTTGCGTTGCGTTGAGTTGAGTTGCTCCCTCGAAGGCGACTGTATTGTATGGGTGTGTAGCGTGCGATTTCGCTTATCAGTTGGGCTGATAAACCAGTTCCCCAGCAATCTGGACCAAGTAAGTAACGAACGACATTCGGGACGCTCTAAATCGAAGCATCTAAAACACGAAAAAGGCGAGTTATGGGATCTTTTCATTACGGAACTATTTTTTAAATTGCTTTTTATGACAGGTTTATGTCTGTTACACATGTCGTTTTAATGGTCTGACTAAAAATTATTTTTTAGTTTGTAGCTGTTGAAATAGGCACTTGGTCATTGGTCGTTTTTAGTGCAGAAACAGTTTCGTATTTATACTCAGACTTCAACAATTTTTTGAACTACTTATGTATGTCCTGTTTAATTACTTGTATAATGAAAATTAAAGTAATCTCAGAAAGTTTTAATATGTGGTCTCTGGAAAAAAGTAATATTCAACTGAGTAACATTTAGTTATGAAATTTTGATAGCCATAGTGTATACTTATTGATAACAGCGCTGGTGTTACTTCTCTTCAAATCGACCCATTCCCATTCCCCACAAACAAATCACATCTGTTTAAAGTCCAAGTTTGGACCCGATGCCAGATGTCGGGGCAGCTACCATTAAATATTAATAGCTATTGGCAAACGGCCGACCTGCAGGCACGATAATTGCATAAAATTACAGAACCAAACGAACGCTCTCAGCTGTATCATTCGACATCGATTTTTTTTAAATATTTCTAGTTATTCTCGGCGTTGGACTCTCTAATTAGTCACTAATACGTGTGGGTTGTTCAAGGTGTACGGCTTTTTGTTCCCAGACCGCAGCTGATGGATTAGAATTTAAAGTTCAAAAGCTCAGTCCACAAGGCTGTAGCTTGCCTCCAATTAAAAGTGGTTATGTTGTGGGATTAGTGAAACCAGTTTTCAAAAGAAGTACGGCTACCCAGTGAAACCACTGAAAATTCTTTTAAAAAAGAGCAGCTTTTGACAAGATTCTTCTCAGTAGAATACATTGAAAACAACTTGACTTGACTTTGGTTAACAAAATAAACAAGAAAAGAGGTTTAGAAAAGTTTCTAAAAAGAATACACACATTATTGATTAATAATCATATCTAACTTCATACATATATCATTTACACATGGCAATAAATAATTTTAATTACTCGATGTCTATCATTCAACTAAAAATGGATTACGGTATGATTTATAAAAATCAGAAGACTATATTGTTTAGATGCCAGCGAAGATAAGTGTTAGCAAACTTCCAAAAGAAAACCTATAAATCTTTCTAAATTTCTACTGTGTTCTTAAAAATTATTTATGTAAGAGGCAATTAAAAAAATGTATTCCAAACTTGAACAAATTTAAAAAAAACCTTTGTTTTCCAGCAATTTTGCATTTAAAAACATAAATTGGAGTTACATCTTAACCCCAGAAGGCCCTAGGGACCCCACCAAACCCCTTATAATTCTAAGAATGTGTGCGTGCTCGAAGCGTACACTCTCCCAAAAATCGGGGGAAGAACCCAGAGATTGATATTCGTGCCAGAAGTGAATTAACTTTTAACCCAAAGAAGACCGATCTTTTCCGTTTCTGTTTTGTGGTTAAGTAAACGTAAACAGAGACGAAAATTAAAAGAAATCACATGCAACACACGTTCGTAGAGCGGGATGGCAATAGCTCTCTTGTCAGCTTTCTTTTGCTTTTTCCTTATGCTTATTGCTTTTTATCCCGTGTGGCTTTTAATTTCTGAGCATTAAAATATAAAACGCAAAAGGCAGCGGCAGTTG